CCATAGATTCCGATATGTTGTATTGTCATTGTCATTTAATTGTAGGAACTATCTGATTTCTTCTTTAGTTTCCTCTGTGAACCATTTGTTATTCAGAAGTATGTTGTTCAATTTTCATGTGTTTATGAAAATCTTGTGGTTTCTTTTGCTATTGATCACCAATTTCATCACACTAATATAGAGAGCATAACTTCAATTCCTTTGCAGTTTCTTAAACATGTTCTGTGAGCGAGTATGTGGTCTGTTTTGGAGAACAACCCATGTGCAGTTGAAAAGAATGTGTATTCTGATTTTGTGGGCTGGAACACTCTGCAAACATCTGTTAAGTTTATTTGTTCAAGAGTTTGATTGCGTTCTAGTATTTTGTTGCTTATTTTTTGTTTAGTTGATCTATCTATTTGTGAAAGTGGGGTATTGAGGTCCCCCACTACTACTGTATTAGTGCTTATTTGATTTTTCATGTCCATTAGTATTTGTTTTATATAGTTGGGCGCACTCATGTTTGGTGCATGTATATTTATGATTGTTATCTCTTCCTCTTGGATTGTTCCCTTTACAAGGATGGAGTGTCCTTCTTTGTCTCTCTTAATCTGTGTTGGTTTGAAATCCACTTGATCTGCAAACAGGATAGCTACTCTTGCTTTTTGGGGGGTTCCTGTCCCATGGAGTATTGTTTTCCACCTTTAACTTTCAGTCTATGAGTTTCTTTTTAAATTAAGTGTGTTTCTTGTATGCAGGATATTGCTGGATCTTACTTCTTGACCCATTCTGCCAGTCTATTTCTTTTGATTGGTGAATTGAGACTATTAAAACTGATGGTTATAACTGATACGTATTGACTTATCATTGCCATGACTTTTTCTTTTTGTTGGATTCTCCCCATTTGCATTTAATTTCTTGTTGTGCCCGATGGATTCATTCTGCTGGGCTTCCTGGGGTTGTGATTCTTGTTGTCTTTTCCTAGGATACTGTCTAACATTTTTTGGAGTGCTGGTATAGTATTAATGAAGTTCTTAAGATGCTCTTTGTCAGGGCTGCCTATTAAGCTCAGTGGTTTTGCTGCCTGCCTTGCAACCACAAGGACCCGAGTTCAATCCCCAGTACCAAAAAAAAAAAGAAAAAAATCCCCTTTTTATGAAAGTATCTTATTTCTTCATCAATTTTGAAAGATAGTTGTGCAGGGTACATCAATCTGGGTTGGAGGCTGTTTGCCTTTAGGGCTTGAAATACATCACTCCAAGGTCTTCTTGCCTTGAGGGTTTGCATTGAGAAGTCTGCTGTGATTCTGATAGGCTTTCCTTTGTATGCGATTTGCTTTTTTTCTCTAACTGCTTGTAGAATTTTGTTCTTCTGTTGGGTTTCTGGAATCTTAACTACTATATGCCTACGTGTAGATTTTTTTTTGATCACGGCTAGTTGGAATCCTATATGCCTCACTTATCTGTATGTCAAGTTCTTTTCCCCTGCTTGGGAAGTTTTCTGCCATCACTTCTATGAACAGTTTTTTCAAGTCATCTGCACTCTCTCCTGTTTCTTCATTGACTCTGATCAGTCTTATGTTATTCTTCTTTGCATCGTCTAGCAGCTGCTGTATTGATTTCTCGTGGTCCCTTACTATTTTACAGCAATTTTTCTTTTCCTGGTCACTAATTGCAATCTTATCTTCTATATCTGAAATTCTGTTTTCTCATTGGTTCATTCCACTGTGTAAACTTTCAATGGAGTTTTTAATCTCCCGGAAATCTGTTTGCATCTGTTTTATGGATTCCATTTGTTTTTTATGTTGGGATTCCATCATGCTCCTCAGCTCCTCTATTTTTTTATCTGTGTCCTCTCTAGATTTATTAGTCATGTCTTGCACTATGGGCATAATCTCTTCTTTTATTTGAGAAAATATTTCTGATTTCATTTTTTCTAGATCCTCTTTTTTTTTGCCTGTTCAGGGAGTCCAGGTGGTTGAGTATCAGATTGTTCCATCTCATTCCCCTTTAAGGTTGCTTTAGGTGATGTGGAAGTCTGGTTGTGAGACTTGTTTATGTGTCTTCTTATATCAATGGGCAGGTGAGGGGATGCTGCTGGTGCCCTCGAGGCTCACCTCCTCTGAACTGGGGGCAGCTCTGCTCCTCGGCACTGGGGGCGGTGGTAAGGTAGCTCAGAAGGTTCCTCCTTGTCGAGTCTCTAGAGATCTCAGTCCATGGTCAGATGGTTCCACAGCATGGCAGCATTGCAGAGTGGCCGGACAAATGAGAATCAGCTCATGGGATTTCCCATAAGATCTACATTTTATAGAGGTCTCAGTTCATAATCAGCTGGCTCCAAAACAGGGTGGATGGTAGACAGGCATTGCAGTGGAGAAACAACATGGCACCCACATGGTAGCAAAGGCAAAAAGAGGGACACTTTTCCACTTTTTGACTCATCTATATACCCTGCTGTGTCTTAGGCCCTTAATAAGTAGGTACAGTTATCCCATAATAATGCCTCCAACCTGGAGGAATGGGATCCCTCTATCTTACGGGGGTAAAAAGGTGTAAATCAAGTACATTTTATGTGCTATCTCCACATTCTCCTTCCATAGCCCTGTGTCAGGTGACTTTGTCAGTCAAAGGCTAATTAGCCACTCTTATGACTATGCAGAGGGTGAAAATCCATTTCTGGACAAATATTATTGCACGTAAAAGATTATATGAGAAAGGAGGAAAACAGAGGTCACAATTTTCTTCTTTAGGTTTACATATTCTTTCCATATTCATATAAAATATATTAATACATTATATCAATATATTTTAATGAGGAATTGAACAAATATAGAGTATCTTATATAGAATATATAACCATAGATTATATTCCATATGCAGTAATTATACACTAAGCCTTGCCACATCCCAGGCACTGTGCCATACCCTGAGGAGGAATCAAAGATGAATAAGAGACACTCACAGCCTTCAGGGGAAATAGTCATATAAAGTAAAGAAAAAGCTATTTAAAACATAATGATATAAGTTAAAAAGCATAAAGAAAGGGGATATTAATTCTGGACAGGGAAAATTATGGAAGGCTTTGACATAGGAGCTAACTTCTCAGTTCAGTGGTGAAGACATGATTTGGACATCCCAGATGGAAGGTTTACTAGGCACCCAGAAGGCAAGGCTGCCCTCCTGAATATGAGGATGTACACTGGGATGCTGCAAACCTTCATGGGAGCTGACTCCAGCCTGGGGCATCCTGCAGAAGAATGGGATTGTGCCTCTGCTGATCACGAGCCAAGCCCTAGCTGAAGCTGAGTGTTACTCTTGCCTTGCTTGAGGGTTCACACCCAGCACCCATTGACTGTCACAAACTTATAATATCAGAGATGGAGATGAGGCAATCTTCATGGGAGAATTGAATCTGTCTCTTCACCAAGTTGAAAATAAGGATAAGTCTGTTCCTCACGATTCCCTCACTGGAGCTTCCTCTACACCTCTACTGCCCCATTACTCCTTGTTTTTCTTCCCCACACCAGGAGCAACTTAATAAACTCTAATAAGAGATTCTCCCATGATAGAGAGGAAGGAAGACAAGAGATAGGCAGACAGGGTGCAATTTAACAAAAAGAAATCTCTTTGCCATCAAGGGAGGAAAGAAAGTACAGAAGAGACGCAAAGCCAAAAACCTGAATAATAAAAAGGAAAATGATTTGCTTTAAGGACATGCACTGGTGGAAAATCACTGAGTGAAGGAGAGTCAAAGCCACCTTTGTGCATCAGAAAGTTTTAGTAGTCACTTTCAATTCATAAAACTGGGATTTCTGATAAAATAAAGTTGTGTACAAACTGGATTATTCTGAATACCACTTTAATAAGAATATAAAAACCAAGCAACATGTAATCTTTTCATGGGAGATTTGAGCTTCTATCTTTTTAAAAGATATCTATTGGTATTCAGGATACAGTACGTAAATATCATAAAATAAATATCTGAGTTCTCTTTCACTTCTGCTTCAATCTCCTCTAGCTCTGTTTCTTGGTCTTATGTGGCAACACAATGCATGAAAGAAATCTTGCTCTCTGATCTCTGGTGGAATAGGGTTTATGCTTTGTTTACCTGCAGCTGTGCCTTCCCCTTCTACGATAGTCTCTTTTAGTCTGAGCATGCGTCCGTGGTGCCCAGCATCACTAATAGGAGGCAGCAAAGCAAAATCATTCTGTTTTCCTTTCTTATCAAAGAGTCTATCATATTTCCAGAAAAATGAATAAGTTTATGCTTAAGATTGGATTCATTAAAGGAAAAAGAAACTTCAAAGGAAAAGTTCACTGGCAGCAAAGACTATGCCCAAGTTTAAGTATATGAGGAATCTTTTTAAAAAACTGACCAAGCCTAGGCCTAAATTGCCTCTATCTAGGGCCTTTCAAAGACTGGAGAAGGGAGGCTCATGGCTGTTTGCAGAACAAAGGGATTTACTGCAATCAAGCTGTGTTAAGAGGAGGCAAACAATTTTTTTCCTGCCTGGTTGATTTAGTGACTTAGTTCCTGTATGTATGAACACAAATACTCAGTAGAACCTAAAGTTTAGGAGATTATAGAATGTTGAAGATGGACGTATTCGTAGGAAATTCATTTAACCCTCATGATGAAAATAATGGCTTCTGATGATTAACAGACTTCTCAGAATGTAAACCTTAATTTAGGGGTTTGTTGAAGACTCTTCTAATAAAATATTGGGCTAGAATCCTTTAAAACAGGCCAAATTATACACATTTTAAACTAAACATACATAGTAATATTTAATCTTTGAAAAGCATGCAGTAATACTGAAATAACTCTCTATTAGTCATCTGAAAATAATGGCCACAGAAATAAAGGTGAGAAGCAAAGACATCTCCTTGATGTGGTATTTTAAGCAGTGATGATATCCTTTAATAGAGAATAGAGCTTAAAGTAAAAAGTAAAGGAGATTATAAAATATAAATTTTATGATGTGTTTTTGTCAAAGAATTCCTTTATATAGAACACCATACCTTTTTAATTTCAGATTTCAAATTACAGGGGTTACTCTGCTGGCTGAAGAGGGATTTCTTGAATCTCTCTATAACCCTTCTTTTCAAATTGTGGTGCAAAGCTGGAGGAAGCTGTATAAAATGAGAAAACAATCATTGTAACCAAATTCTCAACACTGCATTACTGACTACTAGGAAGAATTTACTGAGGACCAATGTAACAATATTCACTCAATGGGACTAAATGAGAACTTAAATGTTACTTTAAATTAGCATTACTACATGCTATAGTTTTTCATCTTACATCTAGAGGAAATAAAATGTACTACTTTGCTTTCTTTCAAAGGCCTGCTTCCATTTATCTTATCATTGTTACACTTCTTGATATTACTTTATATATAATCACTAAATCATTTACTAATTTCACATATATTGAGGTTTCTGAAGAACAGTCTTGATGCAGAAGGGTGTGATTTATCAGATAGGTAGGTACTGATGGCTCGCCCAGAACCATATACAACACCCAGCCACTGCTCTGTTCCTGAAGGATCTGACACTTTACCCCTGAAAACACATAGCTTCCTTTGCTCCTAGTTAGAGAGCTGTCTGTTAGTGTTCCTGAAAATTCAGCTGAAGAGATCAAATTTTAGAGACCAATTTTATCCAGAAGAAACACAGAATGAATTACTAAATATTAGGACCTGGACAAGATGAGTTAGATTTAATAAATAAGTAAGACGTCATCATAGAATTTTTAAAAATATGGTAATTGGATGAAACAAGGGAACTAAAAATCCTAATATATAGTGCTTTGCAGATCAATTTATACAGGAAATCTAAGGTCCTGACAGCCCAGGGGGATGAAGTTTGGGTGAAGGATAGCAGGAAAGAAACAGGGTCAGAATTATAAGCGGCCTCAGGGTTGACATACGTTTCATTTTGTTTATGGAGCTCTTGACAGGAGAGTTTAAACTGTGAAGACAACAGATAGTTAAATGGAAAGGGGAGAGTGGTAGTAGGAGCTCAAGGTTTATAAGCAAGAATATAATGTAAACCCAAATAAAAAGAAAGAGGAATGTGGCAGAAACAATTATGATTCCACTCCTGCTCCATTTGCTAGGCTCCCTCATAGGTTTGGCTGCTGTCATGTGACTACTGGTGGGCAATAAAAATGACATTCTTCACTCCAAGGAGGAAGCAGTTCAAAGCCAGTGCTTCATGCATCTCTGTGCTTCCCTACTACAAGGTGCTTGGAATCCATCTTTCCAGATGACACATTCATAAGACGCAATACGGCCACCTGGCAAGCTCCACTTTGAGTAAGAAATAAACCTCTCTTGTGTCAAGCCAAGATATTTTGGGGAATAAATGTCAGTGATATAACTTTCTATATCCTAAATAATGTAAGAAACATCTATTCACTCAGGTTTCATGAAAGAAGAGGATATTTAAGGTAACAGAAGAGCAAAGAATGGGGTCTATGGAGCTCCTCACAATGACTGACTTTATAACCAAACACAACAGAATGCTGGGCTCATTATGAAGCACTGTAATTATATCAGTATAACACAGAAAAATAATGCAATTAAAAAGTGATTTTTAAATGCATCTGTAATCCTAATGCTTGAATCAAAGTAGGTTTAATTAGAGAAGAAAATGGATTGTTCTGGAGATACTGAGCCTTTCAATATTCTTTGAAAGGTTGTATAGTATGTCAGCACTGATTCTCTACTGATCTCTTTCGATGCCAATATTACTGCTTTCTTTTACCTTCATCCAGCCTTGATTCCTCCCCATAGCCTCAGCATTCGTTATACAGTGATACCTTGCTACTCATCATTAATCACTTCCAGGAAGCTTGCTGAGTGCCAAAAACTATGAGTACCATACAAATTGTTTTGGCTGCAAAGGGTAGTAAGTCACGAGATTATTGATACCAACAAGGTCTAGCCTGAGCGTTGAGTACCAAACTAATGGTGGAGACAGGGACAGAATTTTCACATCAGAATGCATTGAGTGCTAAATTTGATGAGTTTCAAAGCAGTCAAATACCAGGGTATGACTGTAATTATTGTTGTTCTTTCACATGGAATAAAAGGGGGAAATCATATAATGTGCAAGACAGACAGAGAGAGCTATTCCTCAGCATTAATGAATAAACAGATGAAGACAGATAATGGAAATAAGCATAAATGACATATATGTGAATGGAAGAATAACAAAAGAAGGATGAATTTAACTCAGAGTAGAAACAGACAATGGAGAGTAGAGGCAGGTACATACTTTCCTTATGAGGGGATGCAAATACAGGAAGAGTGCCGGAGAGACACCAGGTTTGATAATCCCTATAGTTTCACACCACAACCTGCCTGCCACCTCTCTAAATCAAATACCAGAAGGAGGGTTGGCCTATGTCTCTCTAGTTGCTGCAGTGTGACTGCAACATGGCTGTCCAAGGGAAAGACAGTAAGCACTGACTGCTCCACTAACATAAAGTACAGAGAGCTCATAGTTATTTCACAGGAGTTTCAGTCCAGTGCTGGTGTCTATCGTGTCAGATTACTTTAGATTCTCTGAAAACTCATACCACTTATTTAATTGTTAAGCCACTAGTTAATTTAGAATTGTGGTAACTGTTCCTGGAAGCCTGAATTAATTACATAAAAACTCCTTTGAGAAAGGTAACATTCAGGCAACTTAAGATTCACATACAGAGCAATATTAGAAATTATATTTTACTGCAATAATGATCATTCTAGGCAATACCCCATCTTTAAAATTTTCATGCAAGAATTTAAAGTGTTACCCAGAATGACTCATGTTTAATTGCAGATGATGTAAGTATAATAATATATTGTATACAAGAAGTATAATACTAAGAATAGAATATTAAAATCTATGATTCATACATGCTAGGCATTATGATTATTCCTTTATGTGCATTAGCTCACTTTTTTCTCCAACAAACTTATAAAGTAGATACTACTCTACAGGTGAGGAAATCAGAGCTTAAAATCATAAATGTTATGCAATATACTTTCTGAGACACTCAGTCTTCTAGCACAATCATTATCCTAGAGCAGACACTATCATTACTAGCATAAATGTAGGATAGCACTTTATAATTTATAAACATTTACACGTACTTTTTTTCAAGATACACAATAGTCCCAGCTCTCCCATTGTAATGATGAAGAAACAAATTCTAGAAAACATAATCATTTTCTCAAAAGTCACCCATATAAAAGCTCATTTGTTGCTTATTTTACTGTTCACACAAAGCAAAAAAAAAAAAGAAAGAAATATGTCTGTATGTTGTCTAGTAAGTTTTTTCAAACATGCATAATATATGGATTGTTTCTAAAGAAATTAATTCTCTGTACAAGAATATATCAGCAGATCATTAGTAATTAACAGGGATCCTTTTTTATTATTATTTTTTTGTACTGGGGATCTAACTGAGGTCCTTGAGCTTTCGGGGCAGGCGGTGGAACCACTGAGCTAAATCCTCGGCCCCTAACAGGGCTCCTTTTGATAGTGACCTAATCAGGATCACTGTAGGTTTGAGGCCAGTCTGGGCAACATAGTGAGCTCAATGCCAGCCAGAAATACATAGTGAGATCCTGTCTCAACAAAACAAAAGTTGCTATATACTAATTTTAAAACATTTACTTAATAAAATGATCAAAATGTAGCATAGACTTAAACTCAATACTTAATTTGGTTGTACAGGTCCTACCTAAGCAAAAACATCGAAAGAATCACATCGAAAGGTCACATAGGTACTTTAATCACCTTATCAGCCCAGTGATTTTTGTTTCCAGCAATAGAAATGAGCAACTGATTCCATTCTTAGTTTGCTGGTCTTAATATTACCATTTCACTTTTGATGAAAACAGATGTCAAATTAGTGAAGGCAGAGTAAGGATTTAACATCCTGCCTCTTAAAATAGTTGCTTTTAGATGATTTTCACAGATATATCTCCATGGAGACTGGACAGAAGAGAATACCACCAGCCAAAAACACAAGTTTTCTATTTAAGTTCATCTGTTGGTGGTCAAGAGATATCTGGCCCACAGTTCAGGGCTGCTGGCAAACGTTAAGTATGAAAATTTGACTAGTAAATAAATATGAGAGGGAAGTCTGTTTGTTTATTTTGTCAATTCAGTCTTACTTTGCCATTAGCAGAGAGAGAAAATTGATCTTGGTCTTGAATCTATAGCAAATAAACTAGTATAGTGTTTAGGCTTGTATTTTTTTTCTTTATGTGAGACTTCGACTTTGTTTACTACTATATGTTAAAGTTCCCCAGAGGGGAATCATTCTTTTCTGTGTGCAATGCCATGAACTTTAAAGTATTCTGAAAACTATTTTTAAAAACCACGGTAGTCATATCTGAACTTGTAACAAGGAAACGTACGCCATCCTGTCAAGTGATATGAAATCATTTGTTACTCTAGCAGTTCATAAGCATAATAATAAGATATTTTATTCTTGCTTTAAGATATTCATTTTTGCTTTAAAATACTTTGAAATCCAATAAAGAGGTGGACTACATCCATTAAAAGACTCATTACATAAAAATTAGCAAGATAGGCATAAACTTCAAAGATATTTCTCTCAATAATTAATAGTTGATATAACTAAAAAGCCATTTTTATAACACTAAAGAATATTTCCCATATTTCTATATTAATATTTCAATGGAAATGTACTTTAATATAAATTTTTATAGATGATAGATTATATTTTGATCTATTAACCACACACCTCCCACATCCATACATATTCCCTTCCACTCCTTTGCCCCCTTTCATTTAATCAGACCATCATGTAGCCTTTCCCTAAGAGAAATGTTGATAATAGAAAATGGAAAAGTAATCAGTTTTAGAATCTTCCATCTAAAACGCAGCTGTAAGGGAAACTGAAAGGAGCGCCAGATTTGGGATGAAACTTGACAGATGACAGCCAGGCTGCTGTAATAAAGATTCCCCAAGCTAAAGAGAACAAGAAATCAAATAGAAAGCAAGGAGAATTCAGAAATAGGTTGGTACCAAAGAAGGGAGTGGCTTGTTTCAGCCCTAGGCTAAGTTTGCCAGTTGTCGATATCTGCCAGCTCCAAGTCTTTCCTTGATTTTCCTGCTTGTGACACCAAAATATTTTCCCTCACCAGCTGGTTGGATGCTAAGCTCTTGTATCAGTTAGCTTTTCATAAACAGAACAAACACCTGACATATACAGCCTAAAGGAGAGGTTTAACCTGGCTCATAGTTTCAAAGGTTTCCATCCATGGTCAGCTGGCTCCTAGACAGGAACATCATGACAGAAGGGTGTGATGGAAAAAATCCCTTTGCTTCATGGTGGCCCAGAAGCAGAGCACAGGAAAGAGTGCCAGTAAGACATATACTCTCCAAGGTTTACCCCATCATGACTCACCTCCAAATGGGCTCCAACTCTCTTCAGCACATCAACTGATAAGTATAGCAGCCCCATGACATAATCACTTTTTCAAAAGTCTCTTAATGCAGTCAAAATGAGTTCGACCCTAACAGATCTACTGGTGGAGAGCACTAGAAGGACACCAAAAGGACTAAGCTTGTCTTTCTGGGTCCAGTGATGCTCTTGCCTTGTCTTGCTCCCACAGCGCACAGCAGCCAGCATACATGGAACTCCGAGTGGTCAGCCCTCATTCAAAGTCAAATTCAGTGACAGCAACTTTGTAGGAGCTTGGCAGAGATCTCCATAGGACAATGCCTACATATTGGTAGCCTCCCTGGTCTCTAGAGGATGCTTCCCAGCACACCACTTTGAGTGCTGATTCTCAGCAACTTCAATAGCATGCTATATCACTTGGTGGCTTGCTGTGGTCCTCCAGAGGGAGGCTTCCTTTCAAGTTTCTCCATCATGGCACCTTAGTAAATTTCTCTGTCCTCTCCACTGAAGACTGGACCCCAATCCAGGACGAGGTGTCCACTGCATGTTTGTCCCTCTCTTAGCCCTAGAGGTAATGACTTCTCTTTATGTTCTTCATACATTCTTTAGATATCACTTTTCTTCCTTAGTAGATAATACCCTGTATAGTTACCAGTTTCTTATATTAAAACTTCCTTGTTGAAATTACTGCTATAGTTGGAATCTGGAATTTCCTCCAAATAAATAAAACAGCACTGGACTTTGCAAGGGCATAAACAAAATAATTTCCCAATCCCATCTACACTGGCACTTCTCCCAGGACATCCCTACAACCTGTTTCTAAACCAGTAACAATCCAGCCAAAAACCACTCAGTAACTGAGTTAGTCAGCCATGGGCCTAAAGCAAAAGAGCCAAGGGATCATGGAATGTAACCTCTAAAATGCTGAGCCACAAAAAAGCTCTCTATAAGTTTTAAAGGCTTAGTCCCCAGAAGGTGCTTCTGGGTGTTGGTAGAACCTATAAGATTTGGGGCCTACTAAGAGGCCTTCCAGTCATTGGGGATGTGCCTTTGAGGGGGATAATGAGACCACCTGATCCTTCTTCTTGCCTTTCATGCTTCAGCCGTGAGGTAGGAGATTTTGCTCTACCATGTACTTCTAACATGCTGAGCTTCCTTGCCAATAGGGCCAAGGGACCATGGACAAGAATCTCAAAAATGCTAGGCCAAAATAAGCCTCTTTATGAGTGTTCTCTGGAGTTTGTTACAGTGGTGGAAAGCTGACTAGCATAATTACTGTGTGGTTCTGGCTAGATCCTCCCCAGTTGAGGTACAGGTTGCAGGAATGTCTCAGGAAACACACCAGCACAGATGGAATTAGGGAATTGGTTTATCATGCCCTTGAACAGCCCAGTGCTGATTTTTATATGTTTGTTGGCAACAGGACACAGGATGCCAGTAATTCACGGCATGCAGAGGCACCAAAATTAATCAGGTCATCACCTTGATAAATGCCAACTGAAGCAAGAAGCTTAGAGGCCCAGATGGCCACTGCACTTGACTGTGAGGCAGTAATGAGGACTACAAGGACTGTGGCGTGGGATGGGTTCTTCTGAGTGCAGTGGAGAACTTAGAAGGAAAACGACAGCCATGTCTTTTAATTCCCAGTTCAAGTCATGGTCTGAGACCTAGAGAGATTCCATGACAGCTCTAAAAGAATATGTCATTTTGTGCTGCCAAAGCTCCAATATGGCTGAGAGTCGAACACAAAATTTAATTGGGCAGGTTACTAAATTACAGTGTCTGCTGAATTTATACTTCATCAAGTTTTTCATATGAAAGTTAGAAAAAAGTAATAGGATCCTAAAACTTGCAATAGGGACATCTTGTTGAACTCAGTTGTAACTGACATTCTTGAAACCCAAGTCACTCCAAGCCTTCATTGTTAGTGGAAGTAGCTTGTCACTTTGTGTCTGGTAAAACAAGTCTTCCTTTACTTGAAAACTAGATGATAACCTGACTGGGATATCTTTAAAAAGGACACTCATTCAATGAGGATCAAATCCATTACCAGAGTCAGACCTGAGCACAACCCAGGGGAATTAGTACACCACATGACTCAGGAGGAAATGGCTTCTATACCAAAAGAATTGCAAAATTTTGCTACTACATATCAGCAGGAACCCAGAGAACATGTGAAGAAGTAGATAGAGAGGATATTAAGCCAAGAAGGGTAAAATATAACACTAGATAAGAAAGAATTCATGGATATGGGTGTGTGCACTAGAATTTACAGATTAACTGTGTTAGTTCATAAAGATGGAGGTGTAGCTTAGCTGGCTGATTGACTGAATCTTGTTTTCAGTGGTGGCCTGTGTTTGTTGAAGATGAAATACCAGCGCTTCTCTGGCATGTGTGGGAGAGAATTCAAAGGCGTAGAGAAACAAAAACATTGGGGTGAATTTACAATGTGCAATTTCCTCAACCACATTCAGCAAGAACATCCCAAAGGCACTCCTTTTGGTAAGGCACTGAGAAATAGATTGGAGAGGGAGCTTCTGCATGCAGATACTCTCTTTCATAGGCCAGGTATGATAAAGACAGATACAGGATTCCAATGTACCCACTCAGCAGAGGCCAGGTGACAGAACCTCACTGCCAGTGACAAGTTGGTAACATTTAGCCTAATGAGCAGCAGAAATAGACTGTGGGTGAGAGAGCCTTGGCCTTCAGAGATCTTTGGTGGTCATTAAATGACTAGGGTACTCCTGGAAAGGACCAGCCTACTAGAATTGTTTTTCATCTAAATAACAGAAGAGAGGTTCTAGGTCTAATAGACAAAATCCAGACCTGAGTTTCCATTACCATAATAAAAAGTCACACCCTTTCACACAATTTCCAGACCTAAGTCAATTCAAAGGCCCAAAGCACCTTGGTTAACAGGGAAACTTCCCTTGAGGAAGATCCTGAAGCACTGCTGCAGGTGCACAGTTATCGATTTTCCTCTGAGCCTTCTCCAAAGAGATTTTCAGGTATTTACTAGAGTAACCATCCACTAGGGAAAGGAAAATAGACAGGTTTTCTGGAAATATTAGGCACTTATTATAAATCAAAAGTACATAGTTCCTAGAGTCTGATAATTCCACTATGTTATATTCATCTTAAAGTTCTTGGTTTTGTTTTTGCAGGATTTTTTTAGAGGGGGTAAGGCATTCAGATGGTAGATGAAGTATTAGGCAGAGTTTGACTCACAATGAGCCTAGCTAGGTCTAACAGTATCTGAATGTACAGCTGGAATTATCAAAATCGGTAAGTGATAGCACCCTAATACTGGTTCTTTGAATCTTAGATAAGGGAATGTTTTTATGTTTTGCTCACTAGCGTAGCTAAAGTGCCCAGGATAGGGACATGGTGAGCACTATATGTCCAATAAGTCAATGAATGAATAAATTGCATAAGACATACAATCTTAAACTTCAGTGTAATAGTGACTTTCCTATCCACAGGTCTCCACTTTGTCTACGAAAATTTATTTATTTATCTATGTATTTATTTAGTTAGTTAGTTATTTTTGGCACCAGGGATCAAACTCAGGACCTTGTGCTTGCAAGGCAGGCGACAGAACCACTGAGTTAAATCCAGGCCCTATGAAAATTTATTTTTAAATTAACAGTATATACCTCTGGTAGATGAATATTCAAGTTGTTTCCACTTGACAGATTTCTGTCAATAATTAATAGTTGTTTTCAGCACTGTTTTTTTCTTCATACCAAACAGTAACTACTACCTACAAAATCTTTTCAATTCTGGATTTTGTGTGGTTTTTGATTTCATGCATTTAAGAGGTCCAGTTGGTCAACCTAGTATCCTCCAGATTAGTAAGGAAGAACAGGCACTACTTTTTCTTTCTTTTCTGTGGCAGATGTGCTTATAGAAAAGGAAGCCCAGCTCCGTTGCCTTTTTCACCTCCATACTGAAGGGACATTTGTGGGGAAGTCTGTTTTTGTCAGTGAGAGACCGTATTAGAGGTCCCAGGGAAATGCCAACATATTTGCTGTTTACCCTTTTGCCTTCCTGGGTTTGCTGCTGACCCAACATGTCCCCACATATGTGTAGTCAGAGAGTACAAGAACAAATATTCACTCTAACTAAAAGTCCCATCAGATAGTTCTTCTTCAGCAATATTAGCACCAAACTGTGTGGAAGATGGAAAGAAAATAAAGAGCTAGAACACTGACCTGTGTGATGTAGATGACTTTGTGCAGCTGAATTAATATCTGCTGAATAGGGTCACTGATCTGGCGCACTTTCCTCTGGGACACAGCTATCCCTGCAGATGCTGTAGGCAATACATTCTGTAGTTAGTCAAGTTCTCTTTTAAAAGTGGTACTAGTGGAAAATGGGCTAAAATTCTGAAAAAAAAATAAAGCAAAGACCTCATCCTAAGGAAACATGTAATATTTTGCAGAATAAACAACTTCATCTCTTCACTTCTCAAGGCTCTAACTAACAATGTCATAACATTTGAAAGACCACTTAACTCTTGAACATTTTGCATGCAAGTATAGCAGGCAGCCTTCAGGAGGTAGTTGTGCCTTGGATGCTACAGCCACTGAAAAGCTTGGCTGCAGACACGTGTAGTGAAAAGGCTATCATGCTTTTAATTTTTACATTCATAATGCCCTCTATAATATGTTAAAACTAATTTTATCCAAACAAACTACTAAAGCCAGACAAGTAGGCAATTTTGCAGAGCAAAGAAACAAACATTCTCTTAACTACAATTTAGTAACTTTCAAATCATTGATTATTACAAATTATAATTTCACCTGGACTTCTCTGCAGTCCAGTGTAAGTTGGACATGCTTCATTTATCCTGACTTTTCATTATAAAGCCACATCACCTTCACAGATTCAGACTAACAGATTCAGGCTGTATATGAATTGCTTCTCCAACTCTGTCATGGTTATAAGTGTTCTATTCTTGAATCAAGGGATAAAAGCTATATAAAGGAATGGCTTTGATTCCTATATTAGCCATGAGGCCACCCTCTTCCCCTTCTTACCCATGGATCCACATGGGCAAGAAGGAAATGGAAGAGATGCTTACATATGGATGTATATTATCTTCCCCCTCTTTTCCTTCTCCTGTCCTTTCCCTTCCTTTCTTTAACCTACAGCATGATCTCTGCAACATTATTCTTTCACCAATTTCCTGTTTTAAAAATCCCTGCAGACCCATTTTTCTTCTCTCTATACAACAGTGAGTGTATATAAAATTAAATTTGAATATAATCACTGCTTTAGCAGTCATTAAGATTTTCTGAAAATGATTCAAAAGTGCTTACTGAAATCATTTGCATATTTTACCTTCAATATTTTGTTCTCAAACATTTAAAGAGAAAATTTGGTGTGGTTGTTTAGAAGTCAACTTTGATTTATTATAAAATATGAAAATTTACACTTAAGGCACAAAAAATTAGAATGAAACATAAAACATCCTTTTTTGCAGTTATCTCATACTGAGTTAGTTGAAAAATCAGCACAAGAAATAACCTAGTCCTCTGTCATCTCCAGTTAATATCTTGTTTAAATATCTGGAAGTTAAAGAATTTATCTCCCCATGAATGTTGCGTCTGGCTTTTTAGCATCAATTATTTGATCATTAATATGAGGTTTAATAAATTACCCTTTGTGTGGACAAAAAGGAGATAGGGTAAAGCAGAAGGCATTAATGTAATTATAAAATAGAAAACAGAACTGGAGTTGTCTATCTCAGCTTATAGAGATTACCATGTGTACTCATGCCTTATTTTCCACACAGTATTCTCCCCTTGCAGAAATAAGTCTCTCTTGGTTTGTTTGTCTAGATCCACACCAAAAACTGGAGACTATGTGATGAGGCCAAGAGGATGTCGCCACAGGGACATTAACTTTGCATTTTCTAAAAATGATAGGCTTGAATTCCGAACATTTTTTGCTGACTGCTTTAGGTTATTTGTAGACATAATGTTCATAGGTAACGTAAAAATCTCACAGCATTGCAGAGTTCTTAGGTCTGTGATGATTTTGTGAATGGGTTATTACACAGGTTTAACTCTACCTTGCCACAAGCATGTGCTCATCTGTGGCCCTAAACACAAAAACAAAGAGAGTTAGCTAGAATGTCTATCTTCTGAATTTACTGAATAAGCAATTTAACTTAAAAATACTTTTTCTTAAGTCCCTTTTGACCACTACTTTCTCAATCCCAGTAAATCTTGGACTTCGCAAAATAGTTTTGATTGCTTACTCTCTAAAAAAACCCTCAATTGTTTAACTCTTCTTTCCCCTTATAAAACAAGCAAACACATAATAACGTAACTATTACAAATGAGGCTCTGTTCTCTGGGAACCTCCATGCATCACAGCCACTTACCCAGTAGTAATACCTGGTACTGGCTTAGTGCATTACTTTCCAGTCTCTTTTTTACCCATTTACATATGTGTGTATCTCAGAAAAAGATTTTTCAAACTGTAGTTAAATTCTAAAGTCAATTTAATGGGTTATGACCAGCATCTTGAAAAATGGAATGAAATCAATTGGAACAGGACAGAACATTTTCAGAGTGCAGTGCATGCAGTAAAAGTCCAATCAATCAAGATAAAATGTGTTCCTTTTTGAGGAACCTCTCCAAGAAAGATTTTTTTTTTTGGTACCGGTGATCAAACTTGGGTCCTTGTGCTTACAGGGCAGGCAGTGGAACCACTGAGCTAAATCCCTTGCCCAAATTTTTTTTTTTTTTTTTTTTGGTACCGGGGAATCGAGCTGAGGACCTTGCACTTGCGAGGCAGGCGGCAGAACCACCGAGCTAAATCCCCAGGCGGTCTCTAAAAAAGTTTGAAAATAGGAAATCTAGTCTCTTTCCCTCCCTTCCTTCTTTCATTTTTCCTTTTATTTTTCTCTCCCCTTATCTCTTTTTTTCTCCCGCCCATCCTTTTTTTTTTGGTACCGGGGATCAAACTCAGGACCTTGTGCTTGTGAGGCAGGCACCGGAACCACTGAGCTAAATCTCTGGCTCTTCTCTCATCTTTTTAAAGAGAATGATGAGACCTGTCATGAGATCGTTTTATAATTTTTCAGTCTATCTTCTTAGGTTAGCACACCCAGTTTTAGCTCATTCCTTCTAATCAGTGAATAATATTGCATATTTTGAATGTGCTATAATTCCTTTAGCCTCTTCTGTATTGCTAGGCTCTTGGTTTTCTTTCAATTTCTCATGATTCTGCAGTGAGTATACTTGTGCATACCTCACAGTGCATAAGTGTAAGAGTTCTTTTAACATAGTCATGGAGATGTGAAATATCTGGGCCTTAGTACACGAACATTTCTTATTATACTAAATACATTTTAAACTGGCTGAATCATTTTATACTCTGACTAGAAAAGAATCCATTTTTCTATACTTTGATCAACACCATATATTAACAAACATTTCAATTGCACTAATCTGACTTTTTTTCTATTCTGTACTTTTTAAATGCTAGTGATGTTATTGGGGGTTCTTTTTAGCATATTTGTTTCTTGCATTTTATGCTTTTTGTTCTTATTGGTTTGTATATGTTCTTTACATATTCTAAATACTTACCCCTTATTTTATATATTAAAAGTATTTTCACCTTATCTGTTACTTATCTTCCATTCAGAGTGCATTTCCCACTTCCACTACCTAGACTCAAGTAAGTTTTAGCCTCAGGTACTGCCAGAGCAGTTTCACAGGTTATCTGTTGCTACCTTATTACAGTAAGCAGCAATCCTATCATCTGCTGAGGACTACTAGGGACTCTGGCAAGACTACTAAGCTGTGGCATGAGTTAGAGTAGGAAGAGAAAGAAAATTTGAGCCTGAGAATGATGTGTAGTCAAGCTGTAACATTTGCAAATTTTTGAGTTCCTGGACAACAGCTAATTCTTGGCATGAGAATTATTATTCCTTACTTTCACCTGATCATATCCTCATAGTTTTTATATTTTCTTATCTCAAAATGTATAGTAATTTATCCCTTAATGATTTTAGAAAATAAAAAAATGATTTTAAAGTCCAAATAAATATTTTCTTTTATTTTTATTACTTATATATGAATATCAAGTTCATGGCAAATGTTAGCTATATCATTTTATGTAGTTTTAAAGCATTTTAATTCAATAAATCTTTCAGATTAGCTCATTTATAACACTATAATTCCTAACTAGTCACAAAAAAATGCAAGATACATTTTGTCCTAAGAATATTTTTACTCTGGTGCAAGCCTACTTCTTCCCGACTTAATAATATTTTTAGTAAAATGATTTTCTTTTGAAAAGACAAGTCTAAGCACTAAAAGAAAAGAAAGGAAAAAGAAAAGGAAGAGGACGTCAATGAGGCCAATACTCATAGCTTAAATGCAATGTCAATCATTTTTACTATGCCTATGATTCTTATCTATGTGATACAGTATTCTCTACTGCATATATACATGATCTGAAAGTGTAATTCTATTGCAAAAAATTGATTTTAACAAAATCAAAATTCAGACTAATGGAATACTTTATATTCCTTTATAGCTTTTGTTAAAATAGCAAATTTAATTAGTGTTGTAAAACTTAGAAGGAAATTACAAAATTCCTTATAAGGCACAATTATATAATAGTTATATTTGCTTGCTTATTCCATGGCAAGCATGACACCAAATTGCTGGGGTTCTTTTCTCCTATGGAATGTCAAGTAAAAGGATCTGGGTGGAAAAGAATGCTTTCTTAGCATGAATGTAGGCAAGACACTGGGAAACATTTTACACAGTTAGTGTCATCCAATCCACACAACTATCCTGAATGGTAGTAATTTTACCCCTATTTTACAGATGAGAAGACCAAGTACTGTGATTTGAATGTTTCTTTCCCCAAAAATTCAATGTGGAAATCCTGAGTTCCAAAGCAATGGCATTGGGAGGCAGTGGGAGGTGACCAGGTCATGGAGGCAGAGCCCTCACAAATGGGATTAATGCTTATATAAAAGAGACTCAAAGGACTCAGTTATCCCTATGACCAAATGAGCAGGAAGAGCCATCTAACAGCAGGAAGTAGCCTCGCACCAGACTTGCCAGCACCTTGACCTTAGACTTCCTGTCTCCAGAAACATGAGAAAAAAAGTCTCTGTTGTCTGTAAGCCATTCAGTTTATGATTCTTTGTATTAGTAGCCAAAACTGACTAAGACACTGACCCTTAATGGGATTAGGGAAATTGGCCAGCCAAGGTCAAATGGCAAGTGAAAGCCCGAACATGAAACCAGGTGGGTTCTAAAACACTGACTCAGTGAAGAG